TTGACCCTCAGCACCACATATAAAAATAAATAAAATCAAGGTCTATTGACAACTCCAAAAAAAATCTTTTTATTTTGGAACAATGACAGTCTTGCAGGAAGGTGTAATGATAGTGCAGGAGCTGGGGTGCCACTCGGTGGCAGAGCACATGCTTAGTGCGGGTAGGGCCTGGGTTCAACCCCCAGCACCAAAAAGAAAAAAAAATAGAGCAGAGCAGTCCCAGTACTCTGTGTGCGGCTTCTCCAGTGGTGACATGTGACAGAACAATATCATTTCAAAACCAGGACGTTGGACTGATATGATCTGCAGCCTGCATTCAGATTTCAACAGCTCAACAAGCCTGGCTGAGGGTGTTGATGCGATTTCATCACGCGTACAGATTTGTGTAACCAACACCACAATTATGAGGCTTAATACTTTATTTAACCAGGGAAACTTTGGAAGCCTCCAACAAAGGGAAAGGAGACGCCATCTGCTGGGAAGGGCCGCCTGTGTAAAGGGTGAGGCCAGAGGAGGCACCTCCTGTGGCACAGTCTAGCTGGTCCAACAGAGAGACTGTGTGTCCAGAAGCGTCCGACAAGCCAGGCGCGGTGGCGACACCTGTCATCCCAGTGGCTCAGGAGGCTGAGGCAGGAGGCTCATGAGTTCAAAGCCAGCCTCAGCAATATGGAGGCCCTAAGCAACTCAGTGAGGCCCTGTCTGTAAGATACAAAACAGGGCTGGGGATGTGGCTCAGTGGCCAAGTGCCCCTGAGTTCAATCCCTGGCTTCAACCTCTCACCCCCAAAAATCGCAGCATCAGTCAGCAGCTCTGAGGCAGCCCTGCAATGGGGGAGAGTTCCGAAGGAGTCCCTGCCTGCCATGCAGCTGCGTGCGCTGCCCTGTGTTGCCAAGTTCTCTTGCTGGAGAAACACCGTAGCTGGCCACTGTGTGTTCACAAGGATCCTGGGAAGGAGCAACAAGCCCTGCTCCCATTTCACAGGCGAGGAAGCAGGCTCAGAGGCGACGTGGCTTGCCTCCTTCTGTCACTTTCTAGATATTTGACCTGGGGTGAGTTGCTTTAGTCCTGATCGTCTGTTTCCTTATTACAATCAGAAGAAAAAGCAGTTACTGTCTCAGGGCTGTTGAGAATGTTAAATGAGCCAGCTTGGTGGCACACGCCTGTAATCCCAGCGGCTGGGGAGGCTGAGGCAGGAGGATCACAAATTCAAAGCCAGCCTCAGCAACAGCAAGGCGCCACGCAACTCAAATCTTGTGGTATATATAAAATGAATTAAATAAAGGTCTATTGACAACTCCAAAAAAAAAATCAACTACTTTTAAAAAATGTGTTTAGGGCTGGGCTGGGGCTCAGTGGTAGAGCGCTTGCCTAGCATGTGTGAGGCACTGGGTTCAAATTGTAATGCAATAAGAATTGTAATGCAAAAAAAAAAATAAGTACATGTATAAAGGCAAAAAAAAAAAAAATAGGCTGGGGATGTGGCTCAGTGGTCAAGGGCCCAAGTTTAATCCCCAGTACTTTCCCCACCAAATAAAGAAGTGGAGATAAGCCAAGCATGGTGTGGCAGACCTTTAGTCCTAGCAACTTGGGAGTCTGAGGCAGGAGGGTCACAAATTGAAGCCCAGCCTCTGCAATTTAGAAAGACCTATCTCAAAAGATAAAAAGAGCTCGGGATGTAGTAGCTCAGTGGTTGAGAACTTGTCTAGCATGCGTGAGGCTCTGGGTTTTATCTCCAACACTACCCCCCCCCCAAAAAAAAGGATGGGGAGTGATGGAAGGTTTGAGAAGAGGGATGAAAAGGATGGCTGACCCCCAGGAGCCCTGGGTAGAGCTTAGCAACAACAGAAACTTGGGCTGGGGTGTGGCTGAGCAGTAGCCTGTGCCTGAAGCTCAGTGCTGTGGAAAAGCAGAACAAAACTCTGGAACCCATTTAGGATTTGGTATAATCCAGATGGAGATTAATGGTGGCTCCAATGGGGTGGCAGGATGTAGTCAGACTCTAGATAGGATTTAAAGGCAGAGCTCACCAGAGAGATGTGAGAGCAGTCTGCAAACCAAGGTATTGGCCCAAAGCGGTTTCAAAAGGGGAGATCTGTTAACTGAGGTGGGAAGCTGAGGGAGCAGCAGGAAATGTGTTATGGTTGGTATCTGATTTGCCTCTCTGCATCCCAGGGTCAGGGTTGGAATGATGTAGAAGCCATCAGTGTACAGATGAAGTAGGTGGCTATGGATTTGGCACTGGGGATGTGGCTGGTGGCCATAGATCAGAGCACTTTAGATGCTGTGGGGACCAAAAGCCAGGCTACAGTGGATCCAGGAAAAATGAGAGGAAAACAGCAATAGGTGTCTTTCAGGGATTTTAGCGTAAACGGAACAGAGTCCAGGATATGTAGCTGGAGGGAGGAACAGGGTTGTTTTTTAAAATCTAGAGGGTCGTGATAATCGAAGGAATCTTTGAAAAACAACTACACTGCTACATTCAAACCTAAACAAAAATCAGTACTTCTCAAGGGGAAATGAATGACATCTGGCTTTGACCTTTCCCAACTCCCTAACAGCAAACTTGGCCCCATCCCATGAACACTTTTTTTTTTGGGGGGGGGACGGGGTTGCTGGGGATTGAACTCGGGGCACTCGACCACTGAGACACATCCCCAGCCCTATTTTGTATTTCATTTAGAGACAGCGTCTCACTCGGTTGCTTGGTACCTTGATGTTGCTGAGGCTGGCTTTGAACTCGCGATCCTCCTGCCTCAGCCTCCGGAGCTGATGGGATTACGGGCGTGCGTCACCGAGCCTGCTAGATTCCTATACTCTTGACCCTTCCTCTCACCCCTGCACTTAACCTCTGTGCCGGCCTACCTCCATAACCTTGACCTTGGCTCAATCCTCCTACCTTGAAAGCCAGGCCAGAACCTCTCTGGACCTTCCTACGAGATCCTGGCCAAGAACCAGCTCAGGTGGACCTTTTCCCATTGCCAATAAAAGAGGCGGGGCCGAGAAGCCGGCAGACGGACTCGCGGTACAGCCAATACAACCCGAGCTACGGAGGTCGCCGGGCCGACGGCGGTGGAGAGGAGGCGCGCTCAGGAGAGCCAATAGCTAGACAGGGCGAGGCAGCGGCAACCAATAGCCTTGAGCAAGAGGCGGGGCCGTGGGGAAAGCCAATCGCTGCAGGAGACTGGAGAGGACACAGCCAATGGCTCTAGGGCGGGGGCGTTGCCCTGAACTCCGGCTTCCTCCGTGACCCGGCTCCAGGACCATGGCCGGGAGTGGGAGGTTGGCGCTGCGGACGCTGCCGGGGTCGGGCTGGGTGCGGGGCTCGGGCCCGGCGGTGCTGAGACGGCTGCAGGACTCGGCCGTGGTGCAGCCCGGCTTCTTGAGCAAGGACGAGGAGGAGACGCTGAGCCGCGAGCTGGAGCCTGAGCTGCGCCGCCGCCGCTACGAATACGATCACTGGGACGCGGTGAGGCGGGCGGGGCCCGGGTCCGCGTCGGGGGCGGGGCCATATGTGGGCGGGGCTGCGGATAAGGGGCGGGGACAGGGAAGCCACTCGAAGGCCGGGGATCAGCTGGGGGCGGGCCTAGAACAGGTTTGGGGTCTGAGGCTCAGGGGGCCGAGATGCGAGTCCTACCGAGATGGGGCGTTGCTGTGGGCGGGGGTGAGAATTTCTGCAGAGGGGTGGGACCTGGGGGATGGGAACCTGGGAACAGCAAGAGCTCTTTGGAAATGAGAGCCGGGTCCTCACTAGATCTGGAGCTAAGGGGTATTTGGGACCAAGGGTCAGAAATGGATATGGAGGAGGTGAGGGAGGGTCAGTTGTTGGGGACAGACTAGGGTCTTGGGTGGGATCAGGTTGAGGGTGGAGACAGAAACAGTGGATATTGGGATGGGGCTGTCGGCATTGGGGACCTGGAATTGGAGCCTGAGGTCGGATCTAGATGGGGCCTGGGTTAGAGGGTTCCAGTATCAGTGAGACCCAGCTAAGGCCTTCATTGTGGCAGGGGCCAGGTTAGGGATGGGATTGTGAGTGGAGGGCAGGGATAAAGGTCATGCTGGGAAAAACCAGTCCTTAGCTCTGGACTCTGTGCCTCAGTTTCCTTATTTTCCCTGGGAGCTCTCAGGCATGACCCAAGCCCTCTGTGCAGGCCATCCACGGCTTCCGGGAGACAGAGAAGTCGCGCTGGTCAGAGGCCAGCCGGGCCATCCTGCAGCGTGTGCAGTCAGCTGCCTTTGACCCTGGCCAGACCCTGCTGTCCCGGGTGCATGTGCTAGACCTGGAACCTCAGGGCTACATCAAGCCCCACGTCGACAGTGTCAAGGTGGGCCGAAGCCAGCACCTGGGAGTTCCCAGCTTGGGGTGTACAGGCCAGGCCAGAGGCTGACCCACCACCATGCTGCCTCTTTCAGTTCTGTGGAGCCACCATCGCTGGCCTGTCCCTACTGTCTCCCAGTGTCATGCGGCTTGTGCACACCCAGGAGCCAGGGCAATGGCTGGAACTGTTGCTGGAGCCTGGTTCCCTCTATATCCTAAGGTGCATCCAGCCAAAGAGCCCCACCCCACCAGCGTCCTGCCCCTTCTCTCATTGGCCTTCACAGCAGGGCGGGCCTGAGGGCTGCAGGGGGACTGGAACCCTGGTCTACCTAGAACTCATAGCCTTCTTTTCTCTTGCAGGGGCTCAGCCCGTTATGACTTCTCTCATGAGATTCTTCGGGATGAAGAGTCATTTTTTGGGGATCGGCGGATTCCACGGAGCCGACGCATCTCTGTGATCTGTCGCTCTCTCCCTGAGGGGCAACCTGGACAGCCACCGCCAGCCTGCTGAGCCTCAGGTCCATTCCTGTTTTACCCAGACTCTGGATTTGTGAATAAAGTTGGAGAAAGGACAGCAGCCTCCTTGCTCTGCTGTGTCCTGAGACTGACCCCTGCAGGGGAAGCTCAGGGCTGCCAGGGTGGCAGTAAGGAGCATGCGGCTTAGCACACAGTCACCAGGCCAGGAAAGCAGATTCTTTATTGTGCTCTTTGCCAGCACCCAGCCCACCACCCCTTCTTGTCTTCTTGCTTCCAGGCTCCTATAAATAAGTGAGCCCAGCTCCTCCAGAGCTCCATGCACAGGGAACCGGAGCTCTGGGCTGGGCACTCTCACCCACAGCTGCAGGCAGCTGCTGAGAGCTGGGGCAGCCTCTGCCAGCGGTGATGGTCATCAATGAAGGCCACATCAGCATAGCGGGTAGGCCGGCAGCAGGGCCCACCAAAGGCTCGGCCCTGGCCCCGCAGTCGGGCCAGCGTCAGGCCGTGCTGGGTGCGGGCTCCGCGGGGGCAGCTGCCAGCACAGTAGCGAAAGGTGATCTTCTCCTCGGAGGCATAGCCCTGGCCCAGCTCCGCCACGGGTAGGGTCAGGCTCCACAGTTGGCAGGGGCTGGCTGGGGCTCGGCGTAAGCGGGCATGGGGGTGGTGAGTGTCTAGGGAAAAAAGGGGCATGGTTTAGGGTCAGTTCTCAGCCTGAAGGAGCTGGGAAGTCACCTGGGGTCCCTTGGGTTTCTTACCCAGTGGCGGTCTGCAGGTCCCTCCAGCATCTCTTGTCTGCTCAGACAAGAACTCTTCCTCTGCCATAGGAGCCCCCTGAGTGTCAGGGCTCCAGCCGATGCCCAGCTGTAGTGATAGGAGCAGCAGAAAGCCAAGCAGGACTCTCCCCGTGGCCATTGTGTCAGGCGGGTCCTGAGGCTGGGGAGCCCTGTGCCTTGAATTTATCCCTTGCCTGCCTGGCAGGGAAATAACCTCTTCCTCGCCTGCGTCCTGCACAGCTGGTCCCCCAGTCCTCAGCTCTAGGCGTCAATTCCCTCTGCCCCACATCCATCCTTTAAGAGTTAAGGGCGCACCCCCACCCCACCCCATCCAGACATTCCACAGACCCATTTCCAACACCCCGGTCGCCCCCTGATTTACGAGTCATGCTGGAAGCCAGGCCTGAGCCCAGTGTGGACAACCAGTGTCCCTGCTGCCCCTGCTGTCTAGTTCAGGAACCCCCATGTTGAGTGCTGGGAAGGCGGCTTGGCAGGTGGTCAGGTCAAGGGGAATCTTCCAGCATGGCTTCCTCCTGAAGGATTAAGACATCATGCCCGTCTCCGGGCCTGGCTCAGCCAGCATCAAAACAGGAAAAGGGAGAGGCTGGGGATGGCCAAGCATGGGACACGGGGCAGGGATTCCTGTCTTGGAAGGAAACCTGAAGGCCCAACTGCAGCCCTGTCCTGGGACCTGAGAGCATCAGCCAAGGGGAGCTAGACTTCCAGGTCCAAGGTGAAGCCAGCAGTAAGTCATGGCGAGGCATGGGTTCTGGGGGCCTTCACACCCATGGGACCTGGTGTGAGTGTTCGGTTTTAGTGCTGTGCCTGACGCTGAGGAGCTGCCCAAAGCTTTTTTTTTTTTTTTTTTTTTTTTTTAAATACTTATTTTTTAGGTATAGATGGACACACGCAATCCCTTTATTTTTATATGGTGCTGAGGATGGAACCCAGGTCCCGCCTGTGCTAGGCGAGTGCTCTTCCGCCGAGCCACAGTCCCAGCCCTCTGCCCAGAGCTTTTGAGGCAGGAGATTACAAATAGCTTCACTGTGTGTGGGAGGTGCCTGGTCCCACACAGAGGAGAGGTTAAAGCTTGGAGATGCTGCACCCCACGATTGGGAGTGTAAATTGGTAGCTCTTTGCATGAGCAACTGAGGAAACCTCCTTCAGGAGTTCTTCCACCTGGGAACTAAGCTGTAAGCCCAGGGATACTAGCTGCACCTTGGTTACAGGAAGCCATGGGTCCACAGGGACCTGCGTCCTTGATTGTCGTGGTTGTTCTTGTTGCAGTACATATTTATGTTACTTTCAGGAAAAAAAAAAAAGTCACTTAAGTCATCCAGAACTACACCTGGGATTTGAGCCCCAGGTCCCCAGAATGCCAGGCTTCTAGCCTGACCAAAGGTGACACTGCCTCCCTCAGATGCTTCCTGGCCTGAGGTGGACCCTGGGTCAGAATTCACGCAGCAGGAACGACAGGGGTGGGACCTCCCCGGTAGGGAGTGAGTGCTGCTCTCCTGAGGCCCAAAACCCTGGCAGAAGGGCGGGAGGAAAGTTGGACCACACGGGGGATTCCTGGGAATTAGCCTGCTATCTCAGGCATCCCTCGAGGCAGCCAGGGGCCTGCAGAACGGGGTGGAGCAGTTTTCCACCTGCAGTTTCCAGCTGAGGGTAGGACCGAGGCCTGACCTCTGCCTTCAGCCAGGTCATTCCATGTTGTGATGTGGTGGGGTTGCGTCCCGCGAGGAGGTGAAGCAACGGAGTCCACACACACGAAGCTCCGGGAGTCAGGCTTGGTGGCACTGAGCTCGTTTTATCGCAGCAGAGCTAGTTTATGTAGGGCATGTCTACCCATCTCCATTGTATAAGCCAGCAGTACAACATCTTGGAGCCAGTCATCATAAAGATCAAAACTAGCCATACTACGGGGAAGTAAGGGAGCCTGCCAAGCGGTCAAGGAGGGCAGGAAGGGTCACCACTGGACGTTTCCAATGGCCTGTCCTAGAGCAAGCAGGTGTTCCTGTTCACTCACACTGGGAGGTTTCTCACTCTACCCATCCACAGCTGTCACCCACACCGCGGGCTGGTTCTTTCCCACATTTCCCCCCCTTTTTTTGGTATACATATACTAACATAGCTTGCTTAGTTTCCATCTTATAAAGTGTAGGCACTTTATAAAGACATACAGTATAACAATACAAATGACACCTATGCCAGCGATAACCCAGTTGGTGGGATCAATCAGAGCTGAAAACTTGTCCCGTAGCCTCTGCAGGAAGGAAGGATTGAGGATTAGGTTTGCTTTAGTTTCATTTAGGCTAAGAATATGGGGATGCAGTGTCATGGTGAAATCTCTAAAAGCTAGATTCCAGGGTCCTTATAACCGTTGAGCTAATTCAAACCAGGGTTTTGTGACATTTTCTACAGGGATAGCTGTTTGACATCATACAGATATTGAGAAATACAGGGTATCCTACATTTAACTGGAGGATATCGATTTTTTCATCCATGAGATTAACCTGTTGTTACAGCACTAGGATACCTCCCTGCAAGTGCAGGTTACGTTGTTCTTACACAGTTAGGGCTCTAGCAGAGCATTGAACTACCTGGTTGATAGTGGCGGCGTTAGCTGTAACTGGGCTAAAGCTGTTCCAGCAGCCGTGGCAGCTGCTGCCGCAGCAAGAGAGGCAGCAATAATGGCAGCAGTAATACCAAAACCCCATTTTGGACGTGAGAGGGAGATCTCTTTGGTGAAGTGTACCTTTGGTGAGTGAAGTGGACAGAGGAACTGACTGTCAACTGTTGGGAACCACAATATGGGGGGTGTCCTCATGAGCACTGCTGACTTAATGGAGGAGTTCCAGCAACTGGTCAACATACAGGAGGAATTAGTGCAGTCGATGTGACCTCTGGTGGGGTGGGCTTAGAACTTACAAAGAAAAAGGTGGTTTAACACACACATGTCCCCGAGTAGCACGGGTAGCAACAGGAGAATCAAAGGTGCCATTAAACCAGATTGCATCAACGGTGACATAGGGCTAATATCCATACATTTATAGGGGCCACATATTAATGGTTTACCCAGTTGTGCAGGACCAGGGGTAGTTTGTATTCTAAGATTTACCCTTCTGGATTTTGGTTGGCTTTGCGGTGCTGTTTTTTAAGTGGGAGCCTCCCAAGTTGTAGGGCTGAGACCAACTAATGAGCTCATCCGAGAGGACGAATGGCCGGATGATGGAAAGGCAATTTCTCCATGTTATGGCCTCTAGAGGCGCAGAGCTATTTGTGTATTTGCGTGATAGGCAGGGCTGTAAGAATGGTCGGGCCATGAGTGGGACTCCCTAACTTGAACCTCCATGCTTTCCCCTTCTGGGGAGAGAGGCCTATATCCCATGATGCCCTGGAGAGCCCTGGTTCCCAGAGGGTGTCATTATGGAAGCATGGTACAGACTGGCATATTTCCCCCACATTGGAAGGGTTAGCAAGAAGCAAAACGGACCTTGTGTGATTGACTTTAAGTGATGGGTTCCAGGAATACTGGACCATGGGATCTGACATTACAGGAATGAGAGGTAACATTAGTAGCAAGCAAGAAGGGCAGGACTGTATCGTCTAGGCCAAGAGGAAACAAAACTCCAGGAGTTGGTGCCCCCGCCCATCATGCCTGTGCTCGTGAGTTAGCGGTGGTGATGGTGCACGGTAACAGGAAAAGAGTGTCCGCCCCTGGCTCCGGGTCTGGGGCCTATCCTGGGCTTGTTGAGCCAAGCTCTTTATGTCCCCCAAGCTCTCGATGTCCCCCCAGGTTCTTTTTTGTGCTCTTCTGCCATGAGGTCGTCAGTGATGGCGTGGGCATTTCTTCTTTCCGTTGCTGGTGACAGTGGAGGAAAGCCGTGGGCGGAGCCGGGAGGTGGGGTGTCGTCAACAGAGAGCCCCTTCAGGCGCCTGGCTGGTGGTTCCACCCTCCTGGGTGGGAGATTCATGTTGTAGGACTGGGAGGATGGACTTTGCCGGGATCCAGATGGGCTGAGAGGCCATTTCTGGAATGACACAAGCAAAACCTCGCCCTTGGGTTAGCTGTGGGTGTGGGCCATTCCACCAATTGGTCATTGGGTCCTTCCTGTGGACTAGGGGGAGCGGGAACCCCAATGCTTAGTAGCTGGGGAAAGACCTGATGCATCAAAAGTTAAAAAATTTAAAGTTATCAATGATCGTGTCAGGAGAGTGTTAGGGTCCCCTTATTTCCCCCCTTTTCTTTTTGTAGTTGAGTTTTTATGGTTCGGTGGGCTCTTTCCACTATACCTTGACCCTGGGGGTTATAGGGGATACCATTTGTATGAGTGATGTTCCAGTTATGTAGGAACTTTGTAAATTTGGGGGATGTATAGGATGGGCCGTTATCTGTCTTGATTGCCCAAGGTACACCCATGCAGAGCTCAGCCTGGGCAACTCTGGAGAGAAATTCTGGAAACACTCATTGGGTTTTTGAATTAAGGACCTGAGATGGACTTCTGCCTGAGTAGAGGGGATACCCTTAAAGGCGCGCTGTGCACACAGACGGACCTGACCACAGCCTGGGGGTACTATGGTTTCCTTCACCCTTACACATATCCACGGTCATGGCAACTTGGGCAGCAGCATCACAGATGGCCCGTTGGTCACATTCATCACTAGAGGAAGCTTTCCACTGTAGGAATTGGAGTCTTGAAGGATCCAATCATGGGGAGTTTGGGGATTATCTGCCCATTGGTCCATAAGCTGCTCCATATAGGGAGAGTCCAGACCATCTTCTAGGGTGGCCTTATGAATGGCGGCTAGATCCTTTTGGGTTGGAGCAATCCAAGGCTGATTTGCTACATTGGGCCCTACATCAACAGGGAAAGCCTGGGTGGCATGGGACCTCATCTTGAGCAAGTCTGAGTATTGATTCAAAAAGGAGTTATTAGAATAGGGCGGTGTGGGGCCTGCGGAGCTAGAGGAGCCTGGCCACTGGATGGCAGTAGAGGCCAAGGATAAAGGGAGAGGCGAGCCATGGACCCCTGCAGTTATAGGCTGGGTACAGGGAGGGGCCCCCTTGCTCAGGCAGGCAGGTGTTGGTGCCTCAGAGGACGTGTTGGCAGAGGGGGGGCTGGCAGTGGCAGAGGAACCTTCAAATCTAAGATCAGGCCTTTCAGCTACAAGGACATTGTGCTGGCTGACATCATCATCTTCAGTGGTCCCTCCTAAACATGCTGATGGCAGCAAGGACTGGAGAAAGGGAGGGGAAGGCTTGGCCTTCTTGAATTTCCCTATTCCGAGCCAACACAAGGAAGTGATGCCAGAGCTCTTTGTCCCAAAGTGTATCAGAGGACAGACAGGGTGCCAAGCAAACCACATTGTCCCTGAAGTCAAAGATATCAGGGTCTTTGGTCTTGAGATGGCGGCTCTGGGAAAGGATCCTGAGCCCAAAGAGCCAAAGCACAACGGTTACTGTGGCATTCAGAAGGAGAAGTCCTAGGACTGGGGCCCACTCATGTTAAGGGGGTAGGTGGAAGGAATCAGGGGACATGGAAAAGGGGTATTGGTTCAAAAAGTGCTGTTTGGGAGGGAGACTTCCCCGGCTGTCACCCCGGGGGCCGGCTGTCACCCCGGGGGCCGGCTGTCACCCGTATGTCCCTCACTGTGTCTCAGAAGTGAAAGGTGGCTATAAGCCGTGACCTTCATGGTTTAGGCACTGGGAGACCAAACCCTTACTTGTGCCTTCTGAATGAACCAAGGGGCTCCCACTTTGCAGCAAGCCAGGGAGCAGGGGGTTATGTGCCTCCCTAATAAATCCTATCATAGAAGCGATAAACTGAAACCACAAACCAAAAGCAAAAAGGGGGCAAAGAGGTCCGAGCGCTCACCAGGCACAGACATATAAGCCGATCAGGGGCACTCACCTCGCCTTTGTTGCCACAGAAGTTGTCCCACGGGGACCGCCCCACGTTGTCGGACACCAGATGTTGTGATGTGGTGGGGTTGCGTCCCGCGAGGAGGTGAAGCAACAGAGTCCACACACACGAAGCTCCGGGAGTCAGGCTTGGTGGTGCTGAGCTCGTTTTATCGCAGCAGAGCTACAGTTTATGTAGGGCATGTCTACCCATCTCCATTGTATACGCCAGCAGTACAACATCTTGGAGCCAGTCATCATAAAGATCAAAACTAGCCATACTACAGGGAAGTAAGGGAGCCTGCCAAGCAGTCAGGGAGGGCAGGAAGGGTCACCACTGGACGTTTCCAATGGCCTGTCCTAGAGCAAGCAGGTGTTCGCTCACACTGGGAGGTTTCTCACTCTACCCATCCACGGCTGTCACCCACACCGCAGGCTGGTTCTTTCCCACAATGCAAGACAGGTTCAAAGGCAGTGGCTGCAGCCAAATCTCCTCAGCCACACTGCTGTCCAGAAACCTCCCTGCAGGGAGCCTGGTGGGGCTGGACATGCAAAAGCATCACCTGGCTTGAAAGGCGAGAGGGCACCCCAGAAACCCCCTAGGGAACTGAAAATAGGCCCAGATGCTAAAGCCACAAAAAAGGACACGAGGCTCTGGGGGCCGTGCAGACAAGAACTGAGGGGAGCCAGGCAGGGTGGCACACATCTGTAATCACAGAAGCTCGGAAGGCTGAGGCAGGGGGGATCTTGAGTTCAAAGCCAGCCTCAGCAAGTTAGGCCCTGAGCAATTTAGAGAGACCTTGTCTCAAAATAAGTTAAAAAGGCCTGGAGATGTGGCTCAGTGGTTAAGCGCCCTGGGTTCAGTCCACACCCCTGGGTTCAGTCCACAGTACCAAAAAAACAAACAGAACTCTGAGCTGAGAACCACACACAAAACCAGCAGGGGCGCACTCCTAGTAACTTTTGGAAGCCAAGGTAAAACCATCTTGAAAGACCTGCTTAAAAAGTAGGCCTGCCAGGACTCCTGCGAGGACCCACCCCAAATCACAACCTGAGGAATATCCTATCCACAAGGGAAGGCAGAGGACACTGCAGATGCTCACAACTGCAGATTCTAGACTCGTCAAACAGGCTGTAAGGTAGGGATGCTTAAAATAAAAACCTAAAATTCAAGAGGGGATCAAAGACATCAGGGACAAGACACCACCCAAACACAGCAGTCGACCTGAAAACCAAAAATACTAGTGTGGGCAACTGACAGTGGAGTCACTGGAACTGAGCGCTTGCCAGGTCTTGGGCCAGGAGCCTGGCTGAAGGCAGAAGCCCCGAAGGCAGTCGAAGCCACAGCTGCTATGACTGGGCTGTCCCAATGCACGTGCTGAGCTGCCAGGAGAGCCCTGTCTTCCAGGTGCCTATAAGGCAACAGGAGGCGGGACCAAGAGTGACTGGGGAAGGACACTGCCCGGGCTTCTGTGGTTGCTAATAAAGGGGTGCCGGACTCGAGGACAACCAGGCAGCAGGCGTGGGCAGGTCTGGAGCGGACAGTTTTATTGGGCAGGGGTAGATCTCAGTCCTTGAGGGAGAAGTGCATCTTGTCATTGACCATCTTGCGCTCGGGGTTGAGCCGCTTCAGGATCTGGGCCAGCAAGTTCACCGTCTGCTCACTGCTCAGCCCCGTCTTCTTGGTCTGAAACTTTTTCAGTAGGTCTTTGGTGGTCATAGGCTTCCGCGTCAGGTAGCGGCGCACGGCATCCTCAGTCACCTGCACATCACTGAGGAACAGAGCGTCAGGGTCAGCGAGATCCTGCAGTGGCCCCTGCCCAGCCCCTGCGTCCTAACCAACTTACCCGCTGCAGGGCGTGGACTTTCCGGAGGGCGGCTGCGGGGTCAACTTTCCGGACAGGCTCTGGGGAGCGGCGTCCAGCCGTAACCGCTTGGCGGCTGGTGCCTCGCTGACTCTCTTCCCTGTGGGAGCAGGGTCAGGATGAGTCTTGGGGTGAAGGGTGGACCCTAGCCCAGGGACTCAGGAGCACACAGATGGGGCCGATAGCTCACCTTGCTCCAGTTTGTTGGCAGCTGCCCGCAGGGTGGAGGAGGTGCTGGTCCCCTCTGCACTGGGTGTGCCAGGGCGGCTGCTGCCCCGCGAACTGCCTCCTGACGGCTTCCGCTCCCTCTTGGGGGGTGTCTTCTTTTTCTGCAGAGGTTAAGGTGGGGGGTATGAGCCTGCCAACAGACACCTGCCTGGCCCAGGCCCCAGACCGCTACTTACCGCCATGAACAGGGCTGAGGAGGCCTCACTGTCAATGTCACTCTCCTCCGAGCTGTCTGACTCATCACTGCTGTCTGCAGGAGCCAGCTTGGCCCAGTCAGGACCAGAGCAAGACCCCCTGCCCATCCTCACTTCCATCAGGGCAGGAGGCCCAGGGGGAGGGGTGGGGGGCAGGGCGCCAGGGCCTGCGCGAGGCCGGCAAGGGGAGCCCACCTTTCCTGCGCCTCTTCTCCTGCGGGGTGGGGGCCTTCTTCTCCTCCTCCTCCTCCTTGTCCTCCTCAGGAGGCTTCTCCTCCTCGCTCTCCTCGCTGCTCTCACTGCGCTCATCGACACCTGGGGAGGGGACGGAGTGAGCAGAGCAGGAGGGACCCTGCCTGCTGACTGCCCCCAGCTCCTGGCCCCCGCCTACCTTTGGGCCCGTCCTCCTGCTGCGGCACCTTCGGTTTGCCCTCTGCCTCGTCCTGGGAGCTGCTGTAAGACAGAGGCGGGCAGAGGGTGAGCGGGCGCCTCTGGAGGCTGGCCAGGGTCTCACACCCGCCTCCCGCCTGCCTCACCTGGAGCCATCGGACATGTAGTCTACCTCCTGGCCCTCAAAGTCACCGTCGTCACTGTCCTCAAAGGCCTCATCATCCGAGCCCTTCTTCTTCTTCTTCTTCCTGCCCGCCTTGGTCAGTGGCTTCTTCTTCTTGGCCTTGGGGGCTCTGCTGCCTGGGGGAGGGCAGAGGGGACTCAGGCCATAGACCACTGCGTCCTTCAGGTTCTACCATGTTCTGACGTCCTGGGAGTGGATGACTGGCCCCCCAGGCCTGGCCAGTTCTTCCAGAAGCGAGGGCAGATCTGCGAGCAGCGCTTACAGCAAGCAGCCCAGTCCAGAGCCGCCCGCAGCCCCAGGCTCACACACCACTGCCCCAAATCACCCAGAGCCAGGTGAGGGACGCCAGTCATCCAGCCCCAGTGGAGGCCGTGCCTCGGCTCTCCAGCTCCTGCCTTCCAGGTGGCCCTGGTGCCCGTCATTTCCAGGACAACAATGACAACAAGCTTCTCTGGGTGACATCAGCCCATCAGCCCCCTCTCCATCTACAGTCAGCACAAGCGACACTTACCCTCCTCGCCGCTGGCGTCGCTGTCATCAGAGGACATCTCCAGGTCATCCTCCAGGTCGTGGATGCGCAGCTCGCTGGCCTTCCTGCGGCCCCGCTTCTCCTTCCCCTCCTCGTCCTCGTCCTGGTCCTGGTCCTTCAGCCGCCGCTGCTGCATGATGCTGAAGTGGTTCAGGACCTTATTCCTCCTGTGGGCCAAGGGAAGGCAAGGCAGGGTGACCAGGGGCTCGGCACCTGCACCTCCGTGTGCAGGACCAGGGGGTGACAGGAACCACAGACGCTGCCTTAGCAGGGGGCTCACTGGAATCCCATGAGGGAACTGGCTGCCCACCTCCCTCCACCTGAGGGCCTCAAGGTCTGGATGGTGCTAGAGTGTCTGCCCCCTGGGGCACAGGGCCATTCCCAGGCCACAGACTGGCCATCTCGTATTCATGTTACACTCCTCTTATCCTTTACAGGTACCTTTCTCTTTCTCCTAATGACGGGCATAGTGACATTTCCACTGGAACACCACTCCATGGATCATGGCAACCAATGACGGCCCTTCACTTAGTGAAGGGCTCAGGGGCTACATCCAACAGTGAGTGCACAGTTCACAGGCACTGTAGGAAGGAACAAAACCTGTCCCAACACGGTGAATGCCTTGAACACTACATAAGCGCACACTGAGAAATGGTGACGAGATATTTTATGTTTTAAACCACAATCTTAAGGTTTTCATAATTATTAAAAAAGAGAGGGGGCGGGGGATGTAGCTCAGTGGTTAAGCGCCCCTGGGTTCAATTCCCAGTACCAAAAAAAAAAAAAAAGGAGAATAGCCCTGGTAGAGGTCAGATGAATCCAAGGACAACATGCTCAGGGAACATGGAAGACACCCTGGGCTGGGTGTGGCGCAGTGGCAGCGTACGTGCCTAGCATGCACAAGGCCCTGGGTTCTGTCCCTACCATTGAAAAAAAAAAAAAAGAAAAAAACCAAAAAGCCAAATACGCAAGGATACACACTGCACGCTGCGGGACTCCACTCAGAGGGGCCCTGGGACCCTCAGATCCAGAGACTGAGAACATCATGGCCGGTGCCAGGCACTGGGGAGTTAGTGCTGGATGGGGTTCAGTTTGGGAAGATGGTAAAATTCTGTAGATGACTGGTGGTGACCATTGTTAAACAGTGTGACTGTCCTTAAAAACAAAACAAAACAGGCGGGTGCAATGGCACACACCTATAATCTCAGTGGCTCTGAAGGCTGAGGCAGGAGGATTGCGAGTTCAAAGCCAGCCTCAGCAATGGTGAGGCTGCTAAGCAACTCAGTGAGACCCTGTCTCTAAATAAAACACAAAACAGGGCTGGGGATGGGGCTCAGTGGTCGAGTGAGTGTCCCTGAGTTCTATTCCCTGATCCCCGCCCCTGCCCCCGCAAAAATAAATAAATAAGACTGATGAGTGCTGACCAAATGTCCTGACTTCTGCTTCTAATGTGCCTGTCTGCACATCAGAAAAAGATGAGTAACACTCTACTGTCACATGTGTCTAAATAGAACAAATTTTAAACATAATAATTAAAAAACAAAAAAGCTGAGTAAAAATAGGTGTCCCCAGTCCCTTGGCCTGAGGCCCTCAAGAAACTATATAAACAAACTAGATGCCTGTCAGTAGATGAACGGATAAAGAAAACGTGGCACATATACACAATGGAATATTACTCATGGCATTTACAGGTAAGTGAATGAAGTTGGAGAATATAATGCTTAGTGAAGTTAGCCAATCCCAGAAAACCAAATGCCAAATGTTTTCTCTGATATAAGGAGGCTGATTCATAGGAGGCTGGGGTTGGGAGGGGGAGCATGGGAGGATTAGAGGAACGCTAGATAGGGCAAAGGGGAGGGAGGGGAAGGGAGGGGGCAAGAGGGTAAAAAAGATGGTGGAATGAGACGGACGTCATTACCCTAAGTACATGTATGGAGACACGATGGTGTGAATACACTTTGTATACAACCAGAGATATGAAAAATTGTGCTCCATATGTGTAATATGAATCGTAATGCATTCTGTTGTCATATATAACAATTTACAATTTAAAAAATGCCCTTGAACCTGCAGGGAGTCACAGTCAGGTCATGGCCTGGCCCATGAAACAGGTGCCAGCACAGCTTGGCCTGCTGCTAGGGAAGCACAACAATGCTTGTTGACTAAGCAGATTGAACTTGTGATCCAGAGATGGCATATCCCTCTTGCTTTGACTCATTAAAACAACAAACTTTTCTCCTGGAAGCTGTGAAAGCAGATTCTAAAGACAAGATCACAAACAGAGAGGAAAGCAGAGAGCACCACAGGGGGTGCCTGCCCAGGGCCACAATAAAGCCTCAGGGGGTCAAGAAGCAGAGCAAGGCACAGACAGCAGATAGCAGCGGGCAGAGGATCCCAGGCCAGAGGCTAACCCAGGGGAGAAGGGGACTGGAGATAAGCTAATCTTTGCCCAAAGTGAAAATTTCAACTCAAGGAAATGATTGAACAAAGGTCGGGCCAGGAAGGGAGGATGTCTTTCTGCCCTTTGAGGGCTGTGATTCCTGCCACTCTGTGACACACGCAGACAGAGTTTTGCAAACATGCCCACAGCGCCATCCTGCACCAAATGGATGCCCCAGGGCTGCAGTGACCCAGGAATGTCAGATCCTCAGCTAGGACTGCAAGGCCCATGTTCCCAGCTCTCCCCATAATCACTCTGCTCCAGCTTGTTCTTGCCGTGTCCTTGGCCCCACAACTGTTCCTGTGCTGTCCCCATTTCCAAGGCCAGAAATGCCATGGCTGCATCAGGAGGCCCCTTTTGAGCCCCCTTGTAAAGACCCCCTTGCAGTGGCACATGGTGCAGACCCACCAAGGCAGCTAACCCCGCAGCTGCCAGCTGGCCCCACGCTGCTCTGCCACCTCCTGTACCAGGTTCACCAGCTCCCAAGGGTCCATATCTCCCTGAGAGCTCTATGTGGGCAGGTGGGCACTGCCTTGGTCCGCTGAGTGCCCAGACTCCAGCACAGCTTGGCCTGCTGCTAGGGAAGCACCTCCCGGCCCTTGCCAGCTCACCTCTCCCACTCCTCCTCAGCCTCCTCAGCAGTGAGTGTGCGGTGTCGAGCCAGTGGTGTGAAATTGTACCAGTTGTGCACAGGAAAGGCCTCGAAGGCTCCGTCAGGACACTGGGTGAAGATGTAGTAGGACGTGTTCTCCGTCACTCCTCCCTTCTTTATGCCCTTGAACCTGCAGGGAGCCACAGTCAGGTCATGGCCTAGCCCATGAAACAGGTGCACAGGACCTGCCTGCGGCCTGCATGTGCCTCCCTGTGTGCCTCCTCTGTAGCACCTGCCTGGGTTCCCTGGGGAAAGCCCATGACAAGCCCTGGGCAAGCCCAGAGGAACCCAGCTTTGATTTTCCCAGCTGGATGGCAGGGACAACGCTCCCTCTTAGTAGAGCAAGTTCAATATTGGGCTTATGCAACAATCACTTAATGGCTCTGTCGCATGGGCTATGACCAGGAACTCAAGAAGCAAGACTGGAGCAGATCTGAAGTGGACACTCAACCCAGGCCACCATCTCCTTGAGCCCAAACAACTGGCGATGGCCTCCACCCTTACTTGCTGTTATCCCAAATCCAGGCAATCTTGTTCTGAGTTCTTTCCCAGCCTATAACTTTTCAAGGCTCCCCTGAGCACCCAAAACCCTGCACAACCCAGTTCTACCTGGAATGCCTGCGCCAACCTGCATCACCCTTCCTGTTCTGCCCCAGAATGCCCTTTCCAAAAGGTCATCACAAGAGACAAGCGCCACTTGATGGCCCTCAGGGCTGCCACAGAACCAGGCATAAGTACCAACTCGGTTCATGTTCAAAAACAAAATAAGGGAGGAAGTGCAGGCCCGGTTATCTCACACAGCTGGGGAACTGAGGTTCAGAGGGAGCACCCAACAAGTGCACAGTGTGTGGGAGGTGGTCCCTAGGTTGGCACACTTCCCCCGCTGCCACTTACTTTCTGCCTGATTTTCCATTGACACGTAGGAGCCAGGGCTGGTCCTCAGGCCGGAACTCCTTGAGGATGATGCCGTACTTTTTCCGACGAGCCTCTTCCCGGAGCTTGCGGTTGAACTCACTGCCTGCACCCGACTCTGGCATCTCCTCCTCCTGGTAAATCTTCTTGTTACTCAAGTCCCTCTCTAGCCGGGCCTGGAGGGGAAGGAAGAAAAGTCTCTCAGGGGCCCACCTTGGCTTGGGCCGTGCTCCTGTGAGGAACACCCCTAATTCTCACTACACTGTACTCCAACAAAGCCAATTTCCCTCTTGGCAAAAAGAGCACAGGATGCTAGCTAGCACTTGATGAATCTGAGTAAAGGGAATTTGGGACTTACAACAACAACTACTTATTAAATAGAACGATGACAATAATCTATTACAACGAAAGTTGTAAGACTCTCTCAAAATACCTTGCACTTTCCTCTTTTCATTTAAAAGAGGCACTTTATGCCTTTGACATATCCAACTTTCCAGCATCACTGCTCTTGTGCTTTTGGGTTCTTAGTAAAAGAAGGGTTACTGGAACACAAGCACTGAGATATCAGAACAGTTGATCTGATAATGGAGACACCTACTAAGGCCTCCCAGGCTGGCCTTAAACTTATGATTCTCCAGGCTCGGACTTGGCAGTAGCTGGAATTATAGGTGTGTACCACTGCCTCTGGCACCTTAGTTACCATTACAGCTAAAGAACCATAACCACCCTTAAGTCTAAGGTCAGTTTCTCTAATCTCCCACCACTTCCCAGAACCCGGGACTTACCTGATTCCATGTAGCAAAATTGACTTTATCGGCTGCATTGAAAGCCATGATGTTATATTTTTTGGTTGTGTTCCTGGAGGGGGCAAAAAAGGCAATGCTAATTCAATTAGTCATTCAGCAAACCCACCCTGGTTCAGCTCTTTGTGCTGCACAGTGCTGAGAACATATGAAAGACTCCAAGGATCCCCACTTTGTCATGGAAGCTGGATCCATCTCCTCCCAATCTCAAAAAGATGAGGAATAACAAAGATTTGGGGGAACCCAAGATGTGGGGGATAACTGAGAACTTGGCCTAGTGAGGAGGGAGCACAAGCAGGGAATGCTTCCTGGAGAAGGAAAATGCTGGAACTGAATTTTACAGGATGGAATCACAGCTGGTATGGAAGGACACTGGTGGCAGTGGGGACAGTATGTACAAAGATTTTACCAGTTTCAAACAGAACAAAGTTGCTGACTGGAAACTCGCTAAGGTTTCAATTTTTTTTCTTTCGGGGTGGGCAGGGCCAGGGACTTACTTGGGAACTCGAACAACATACTCGGTGACATTCGGAGCGCCGGGACCCTGCGGAGAGGAGGCAGGATGGTGAGTGAGGAGGGGCCGCCAGGCAGGCCGCCGCCGGGACTCCCCGAACCCTGCTTCATTCGTACTCACCAGGGCCGCCATGGTCAGTGGGTTGGGTCCAGTCCGATGTGGATTTTGTTCGTCTGCCGCGGGGCCCGCGTCCCTTAGTCTCGAGCAAGCCGCACTCTAGGTGTCAGGCTTCCAATCCCGAGAGAGGATAGCAAAGACTGCAAGAACTAAGCGCAGCGGACACTGGGAAAAAAAAAACCCGGAAGTAACCCTCCCCACGTCATTTTGCGCACGCGCCGCAGCCCGGCCGGAAGCGGAAGTCCGCTACTGACCGACGGCACCATCCTCCAGGGTTGTGGGCCAGTCAAAACTATCATTTGTGTTTCCCCCTCCCCGTCCCATCTCAGACTCAACACACCCAGGCCCACTGTGAGACAAATCAGCCGCCTTCGGTGGCAGACATGCTTGTGTACGACGCGGATAATTTAACCACGACGTGTGGAAACGCCTCCCTCCGTGACGTCACAGCCAGGGGCCGCGGGGCACCCTGGGTAAGCTGGGAGGAAACGTCTCGCGGGTCCCGGGTGCCTCGCGCATGCGCCCCTGCGCTCCGGAAATGGGGGCCAGGAGGCCGCGTCACCATAGCAACCACGGCTCGCCTGGTCAGGTCAGGCAGCAACCAGGCTCTGCTTGGGACTGTTGAGGGCTCATTTCCGCCCCCTGCCCCGGTGTGTAAGGGGAATCTCCAGCATCCGGCAAAGTAATCGGGGGCTGGGAGGGCCTTGTGACGTAGAGCAGAGCCCAGAGGGGTCAGCGAGTGGGTGGGGATGGGGTGCGACAACCCCAAGGGATGCTGGCAGGATGGGTTTGTACAAGTCCAAGCTGCCCCAGATGGCCAGGCCGTTGAGGCCCCAGGAGAAGGGTAATATCGCGGGGGTAGCTGGGTTACTGGGGCGGGGAGGAAAGGAGACTAGAGGGCAGAAGAGAGGTGCAGGTTCCCCGCCATCCCGTGTGTACACCCCTCCCAGGCACGGCAGTAACAAAGCTGCACATCTTCCCAGTCATGCACTCACTGAGCCACTTCTGAGTTCTAGGCCCTCAAGGTTAAACCAGTTCTTTGTCTCCTTGGAGATTACAATGTAGCAGAAGAGACAGACTCAGAAAAATGGAATCTACACCCAAGGAGGCAACAGGGGAAGCACTGTGAGGCTCTGAGGGCAGAGGGAAAAAGGGTAATTTCAACTGGGCACTGAGGGATGCATAGGAGTTGGCTAAGCAAAGGGGTAGGGAAGCAAGACACAAAAATGAACCATAAACCACTGACTGGACATTCATTTATTCCCCATCCACTACTAGATGCCAGGAACCATGACAATTGGTGGAAGCGTAGGTATGGGTGAGACAGAAACGGCCCTTGCCCTCCTGGAGTACAGAGGCTGGCTAGGGACACAAAACCAAGTACATGACTGGGTTTCTAAGACAGAGAAGTCTCTTTAGACAGGCATCGGGGAAGACCTGATGATTGTGCTATGACCAGAAGAAATTGAGATAGGCAGAGATTTTCCTGGTGGAGGGAACAGAAAGGAGAAATGAATTTGGCAAGTTCAGGAACAAAAACAAGGACACTAGGCACACAGCATGGCACGAGTCTGAAGGCATAGGTGAATTCCTGCCCCTCTCTGAGCCTCAGTTTCCTCAATTGTAAAAGCGGAACGCTTCCCAAAGATGCCGTGCACCCAAGGCCTTGCCTGTGTAGGCCCAGATCCTCACTCCTGCATGGCTGCACAGCACTCCTAGACGTACCTCTGGGAACACACATGTGCCCCCAAGGCTCCCCTATGCCAAAAGAGGCTATGCCCCGAGATCTGTGTCCACTGTCATCCAAAGACACACACTAGCTTGAGGACACAAGCCCATCGGTGCCAGCTGGTCCCTGCAGGCACTCACCATGTTGCTCCTCCTCCTCCTGGGCACCACAGACATCCTCAAGTCTTCCTTGATCATCTTTGTGGTGGGTGGCCCAGGCTGTGGCAAAGAGACACAGTGCAAGAACATGGCCACTAAGTATGGCTTCTGCCATGTGGGGCTGGGTCAGCTGCTGCGGCAGGAGGCCCAGAAAAGCACCCATCGGGGCCGACAGATCCGTGACATGATGCTGCAGGGACTTCTGGTACCCTCGGTGAGAGCTCATGGGCAGAGGAGGTGGGGGTGGACATCAGGGCAAACTCTGGGAAGGCTGTGGCTCCTGCCTGGGCCACTGGTTTGCTATGCTGAGCCTCCTATCTGGGAAATGGGGAGACTACATCAACAACTGTGTCAAGGCCTGGGGTACAGCTCAGTGGTAGAGAGTGTGCTGAGCAGGTACAAGACCCTGGGCTCGGGGATGGGGATGTGGCTCAAGCAGTAGCACGCTCGCCTGGCATGCGTGCGGCCCGGGTTCGATCCTCAGCACCACATACCAACAAAGATGTTGTGTCCGCCGAGAACT